AAGCGGGTGGGTGGGGGGCCAAAGCCGGCGAGGGGGTCCAGATTGCCCGGGCATGCCGTGCCTTCTCGGGATCCGCTGGGCAGCCAAGCCAAGCCGCCGCGCCGAGATGTGGCCTTTTAAAAGGCCGGCCCTTGTGAAGGATGGATGGCCCAAGGGGAGGGAGCTCTCGCTGCAGAAACCGGCGATGTGCAGTAGTGATGGATTGTGTTTCTTGGGAGGCGCGCGCGTTTTTCTTGTACTTTTCCCCGTTTTTTTCCCTCCCCAGCAAAAAGAACAGGGTTACAGATCTGTGCCGGGAAGGCAGATCGCGTTTGAGCCCGATCTCTTGGGAGATCTTCTTGACGGCTTGAATTGCGAAAAATTGTTTTATTTTTTAAAAAAAATTGTGGGAGGAGGTCTTTGGATGTTTGGGGAAGGTGGTGTCACGAGCCGTTTCCATCCCGGGGAGTTTTTTTTTTTAAGTCTTATATACTGTTACTCTCCCTATAAAATGTTTGGCTTTTAAAAAAATAACCCTGCTTATCTTTAACACCAATTTGGTGCTCTAATATGACGGCCTGATATAAAATAGTATATTGATGTCATTCCTATAAAATATGAAAAGATGGATCTTCTGTTAGGTGAGGTACACTTAAGCCTGTGGATTTTAATGGAGCTAGTCATGCTTTAAGTCTAAAATAAATGAGATGGTGTTTGATAAAACTGTAAACTTCTGGTGGATAAAGTATAAATAGAGGACTATAAAAAAATAACCCAATGTGGACACATTTTAAGATTATTAACCTTTACATAGAACACATCTCTGCTGAAATGCCAAATGTGGTATATAGGAGTTAAAGGAATGGATTAATACTCAGGAGACTTTCGCTCTAGTCCGCAACTCACCTTTCCAGTTCTGAGGGAGGTCATGGCCCTATGACAGGTTTAACAGACTGACCCACCTACCTCACAGGGTTGTGAAGATAAAATGGAGAAGAGGAGAGCTGTGAATTTACTGGAAAAATAGTAGGTTAGCATTGTACCCAATAAACAATGGAACTCATTATTTCTATTTCTCGCTCCTTTTTTCTAGGTGCTGCCATTTTGTCCATACTTCTGGGGGAGAGGTTGGACAGGAAGCCTGAAAGATGGATGAACCATGGTGGAAAGAGGGCCTGGCAGCTGAGATTCATCAGACACTGAGGCAAAAGGTAAGGAATAAATTAACTACCACTCTGCGCCTCTGTTGCCTTTTCAGCTTTTGCTTATCAACACTTCTTCTGGTGGTGGTTGGTCGTTGTAGCCATCATTCCCATAGCTGCAGTTCTATGTACCATTGTATGTGGTTTTAAGGAACTTCTGGATGGCCAGCTATTTAGGTATCTGGCTGTGAAGCCAGATGATAGGAGTTCAATTCTCCACTGGGCCTCCTTGACAGGGACTGGATTTGATGATGCCTAGGTCCCTTGCAGCTCTGCAGTTCTAAGATGATGATAATAATGATATTTATTATCAACATTTGTACAGTGGGGTCTTGACTTGAGAACTTAATCCGTATTGGAAGGCGGTTCTCAAGTCAAAAAGTTCGTAGGTCAAATCCGCATTTCTCATAGGAATGCATTGAGAACCATTTGATCCGTATCTGCTCTTTTCCGTCCATAGAAACTAATGGGAAGCTGCTATTCCGCCTTCGACCACTAGAGGGGGATATTTTGTTTCTTTTTTGTTAACTGAAAGTTCAAATTTTGCACTTTCCCTGCCTCCCACGTGGGTTTTTTTCAGTTTGTAACTCAAATCTAAGTATGTAAGTCAAGTCAATATTTTCCTATGAGAGTGGTTCTTAAGTCAAAATGTTCTTAACTCGGGCCGTTCTTAATTCAAGACCCCACTGTACTCAGTACATTTACATGCTCTTTTCAGAGTAAAAGATACAAAACAGCTTACAAACAATAAAGGGCTGGACACAGGAATCTCTAAATATGTAAAAACAGTACCGTCCACACTGCAAAAATTAATCCAAGATTTTTGAGAGCAGCATTTGAGAATGAACAGCTTGAATAAATGCATTTGAAGAGTTGTCTTAAAGTCTTACACCAAAATTAAGGTATTGGGCAGCAGGAGGGGAATTCCATGATCATCATCTTCATCTTGGAACTGAAGAGGTAGAAAGGACCCTATGGATCATCAAGTCCAGCCCCTGCTAAGGAGGCACAGTGGGGACTCGAACTCTCAACCTCTGCAGGCAGGGTCCTAAACTTGCCAGCTAATTTGTTTTAGAACCTCTCAACCTCTGGCTCTGCAGGCAGAGTCCTAAACTTGCCAGCTAATTTGTTTTAGCCAACAAACATAGGATTAAAGTCTCAGCCATTGACCTAAGTATTTGTGCAGGAATATATGAATGAAAGTGGTTGTTTAGATCGTTTTACACTTAATTCTAAGTAAACATACAGTACATGTATGCTTTATAGGAAGGAGGATGCTAAAGATGCTTTTGCTGTAGAATAAAGGTATATTTGAGTACACAGGATTCAATTTTCCTTAAATTCATATGCCCTGCCTTTAAGCACACTGTCTGGATCACAACAGAAAACTGTCACAAACAAAAAAATTATTTTTACAAGGATTGTAACCATCTGTGTGCTTTCACCCTGGCAGATCATATTCCCCCTCTTCCCTGTAGACCTCCCATATGGACCTGAAATATGTTTACATCCCTTACATTTGAACCAAATTATTTGCCAAGGTGAGTGTATTGCTGCAAGCTTTCTTCACCTCTCTTAAGAAAACACAAATGAGTCATGGTGATTTAAAGAGTGGGTGCAGTTGCCTGTGGCAGAAAACAGCGTTTTAAGTAGTAGAGTAAATGTCCTGGTCTGAAAGGCAATTTTGAAGACTTCTAGTCTCATGGCGATGGATTGGGATTCTTCCAGTGTATATACAGTGGTGCCTTTACTTACGAACTTAATCCGCCCCAGAAGATGTTTTCAAGTTGAAATGTTCTTAAGTCGAATCAGCATTTTCCATTGAAATGCACTGAAACCCAATTAATCTGTTCCAGCTGTTTTTGTTTGTATATAGAGGCACCAGTTGTAAGTCAAAGCATTCGTTCCCACAGGAACTAATGCAAAACCGGTTAATCCATCCTCCAACCTAAGATGACTTAGATTTTTAAAATGGCAGGAAAGGCGGGAGGGAGGGAACAATGGGGAAAAGAGGAAAGAAAGAAGGTCATCACTGGGGCACACAGACCCCCCCAGACAAAGGTTTCTGCTTTTAAGCACAAAAAGAGAAGAGAGAGAGAGAGAGAAGACAATGGGAGGGGGGAGTTTGGAGTCTAAAACACATTTTAAACACACACATTTTAAACCCATACATTTTAAACCAAACCAAGCACCTTTTAAACCCACCCACCAACACCTTTTAAAACAAAAGGGATGTTCAGTGCACCACAGTACACAAACCCTAGGAGCCACAGAATCCAGCAATCATTATTCCAAAAAACAGACCCCCTCAGCACAAAAAGAGAGCAGAGAGAGAGAGAGAGAGAGAGAGAGAGAGAGAGAGAGAGAGAGAAGGCAATGGGGGGGGAGAAAGAAACTTGAGTCTAAACCCCATTTTACACCAAGCAGGCAGCACAGACCCTTGCAGGAAATTTTTCTGATTTTAAAACAAAAAAGACTTTGGAGTCCAAACTCCATTTTACACCAAGCCAGGCAACACAGTACACAAACTCTAGGAGCTACAGAATGCAAAAATAAATAAATAAATTTTACATTTTAAAATTACAGTCCAATTTTCACATTTAATTTTATATCACATGTAATTTAATATTAGGGTTTTTTTTCTGTTTGTAAGTTGAAGCTGCGTTCGCAAGTCAAAGCCAAATTTCGCAACTGGAGCTGTTCATAAGTCGAATTGTTTGTAGGTAGGGACGTTTGTAAGTTGAGGCACCACTGTACAGTGGACCCTTGACTTACAGACGGCTTGACTTACAGACTTTTTGAGTGCATCAGAGCACACAAACATAACGCCCTCCACCTAGCCCAAATAAAAAAAAAAGCAAAAAAAAATACAGTAAGTACAGTATAGGAGCAGGCAGTACCAGGCAGTCTGAAGTCTCTCTAACTGCTGGGGCGAGTGAGGTAGCAGACAAACAGCCTCTTCGCTGGCCAATGGTTAACTGAAAGTTCAAATTTCTTGCTTTCCCTGCCTTCCCCGCAGGGTTTTTTTCTGTTTGTAAGTTGAAGCTCCGTTCGCAAGTCAAAGCCAAATTTCACAACTGGAGCTGTTCATAAGTCGAATTGTTTGTAGGTAGGGACGTTTGTAAGTTGAGGGTCTTCGGACTGCCTGGACTGTATTTTCCCTGCCTTCCCTGAACCTTTCTTGACCTAAGAAAAAAAGAAACAAAATATCCCCCTCTAGTGGTCGAAGGCGGAATAGCAGCTTCCCATTAGTTTCTATGGACGGAAAAGAGCAGATATGGATCAAATGGTTCTCAATGCATTCCTATGGGAAATGCAGATTTGACCTGAGAACTTTTTGACTTGAGAACCGCCTTCCAATACGGATTAAGTTCTCAAGTCAGGACCCCACTGTACTTATATACTGCCCCATAGCCCTTAAAGCACTCTCTGGATGGTTTACAGTTCAATTATGCAGGCTACCCATTGCCCACCACCACCACGCCTAGCAAGCTGGATACACAGTTTGCTGACTTCAGGCATGGAGGAAGGCTGAGGACTTAGTCCTTCGCAGGAACTTATTTCTCAGGCATTGTACCTGAGTTTGAACTGTGTCAGCCTATTCTGTTGAGCTCCTTTACGGCTGTCGTCTTTCCTAGGAGTGAGGTTCCCTTAAAAACAGTGCAGATTCTCAGTAAACATATCAATAACAGTGTTGCACATCATACAATAATTTGCAAAGCTGTTATTGAAAAACATTCCCCCCCCCTGTAGTTTTGGAGTGGTCTTTGAATAGGTGAACGGGAGACTTCTCAGAAGAGTGCCTGAAAGCAAACTAAAATTGTACCTTGAAGCCATGACAGGTTGAGAACATACGTCTTCCTTGTCTTTTTTAACCTCTCTGTGCATTTCTTTCCCTTGACTGTGCAGACACATTCAAGTCCTTATATGACTTCATATTTGTGAGTTGTACGAGTTGATTTAAGCAATGTCTAGTCCTGTTGCCTGCTCTCTTATGTCAACATCCTAGTAAACTAAACCCCTAGCGGTCCTCTGTCTGGCTTGCATTCCAAAAGACACTTTTGCCATATGAGGGGGAATCTGTATGATATGCTTTCTCTCCCAGGGTGTCTCCTGGCACTTCAGGAAGTACACTTACCATTTTCCCATGCATAACCTTTGTGATGTCTGAGCTGACCTAATTAAAAATATTGTTCTGTTTTGTATGTTACTGTTTTTCTTAGTTTTACTTTTCTACATTCTTCTCGTGTCTCCTGAGTAGCCAGTTTGTAGGGATGACTTTGCTGCCATAAATCTTAAGAGTATGTTTTTATTTTCCTTGTAGACTAGACAGTTGTGTGTTTTTTTCAAGCAAAGTTTTTTAAAAACTCCTTATTATGTTCAAATAAAAACTGATTATGTTTCGCCACTTAAAAAAGAACAAATCTGCATTACAGATGTGGTTTGGGAATAGCATATGGCTGCAGGCCATACATTCCCCACCCTGCATACATCTTCTGTTCATATGTTTGCCATTGTTCTTTGAGTTACTGAGAACAAGAGTATGTCAGCCTGTTCAAAGTGAAATTGATGGGGGTTAGGGTAATCCAGGGCTGTTGTGCACCTTGTCTGTATAGTTGGGTCCTGCATGGCATTACCTCAGTGAAATTATTTATTACAAAAAGTTGCCCTAGGTTTTTCTAAACCTAAGCAATGCTGTTTCTTACAGAGGTCTGTAAGAACAGTACTACATTTCTTAGTGCTTTCCAGATGTATACCCCTTCTGCTGATTTTTTTTCTGTTTAAGAGGTTAATATTTGGGCAGTACACATTAACATTTCATTTTAGTTTATCTCCTCTCACATCCAATTCTAAAAGTTTTGGCAAGCCGTGTTTTTGCTGTACTGGGTTCATCCTGGAGGGAGCCACCAGCGAGTCATAAGTATTTGTAGCACAAGGTTCTATTATATAAAAGGCACCCCAAGCTTCCTTTCCAGTATGTTTAGCCCATCATCTGTGGAATGGTCCCAAGGCTTTGGTGGAACAGTTGTATTACTCATGGTTATCTTAAGTTGTCCCAGGCTTTGAAACAAAAACATAGGGAGAATATTTCACCACATTATGAGTATCTTTCAGTTGAAATTTTCCCCACATCTTTAATTTCAGTTCTTGTAGCATCCTTCAGCCCTGAGATAGAGAATGGGTGGATCCCTTATTTTTATTCTGTCTCTGTTCCTCCCCCCACCCCCCCGGTCTTTCCTAGTTTTTGTATCCAGTTTCTTTCGGTATATGCTGTTTCTTGTAGCTTGCTTATACTTAATGAACCTTCTTATGTTTTATCTTTAACTTCATACAGGGCTTAGCACCGAATGGTGAGTTTGTAGGCAAGGATGTATGTGCTGTGACAAAACCTTGGTGCATGTGGAAATGGTTAAACTTTGCATTGTAACCTAAATCCTTCAAAAGTGGGCTTGTGAGCGTTCCAGCCAGCCCCTGGAGTTGGGAGTGGAAATATCTGAGAGCCAACAAAATACTACTAAAGTTGCAGCAGCCTGAGATAGGGATTTATATAAGCTTCCGGGGTGTGTAGGTGTCACTGTCTTGTTCTTCAGTACACTGCAGTTTGCAGGGCATTCTGTTCATTTGGACATTTTTAAAGGCTGCTTTACATATGTTCTAACAATCTATTTGGTGTTGAGTTGTTTTACAGTAAACATCATTGGTAGTCTTATCCTATGCAGTCAAATTGTTTCAGTAATTCACAAGCATGTGTGGAATTTAAGTAGGAAATTTAGAGAACCTGGTTGCTTTTCTTATTGTTTTTCTTTGACATTTTAACATGTTTTTGGTATTCATTTGTCCTGTCTTTGATCTTAAAAATGAAGTAATTTTAAAAAATTGCAAGCAGTTTCAAATTTGTATCATAGGAGTCTTATATATTTATGCACATTCAAATTTTTAAACAACCCAGAGTTACTAAGGAACACATTTTAATATGAGTTCCCCGCCCCTTACCCTATGAGACATACAGTATTCTGAGATATCTCAGAAGAAATTATAACACCTGTCAATGAAGAGTTCTGTTCATCTTTAGATGTGGGCAGAGTTCAGTGGTGGCTTTGGAGTCCTGCAGTACGTATTGCATACCTAGATTGAACCTACAGTGTTTGGGCTTCAGTAACTATGTCATAATTTGGGATTCTAACAGGCCAGTTCCATTTTTATTCTACTGCCAAGTCAAAAATTGTAAAGTACCCCCACCTCTCTGTGAAACATTTTGTCTTTATCCACCTATATAAGGAGGCTGCTGAGGTAAAAATAAATGTTTTTGCCTCTTGAACCAAGACTCGGTGGTGCCATCTAATTGTCTTTTCAGTTTGGGAAAGGCTCTAGTATCTAGTGAGATAGCGAAGTATGTTTGCCTGAGGAAATTAGTCCTCTTCACTAGTGCATAAACATTTACACTGAAGCTCTTTCGTTCAAGAGGTCTTGCCTTGCAGCCTTTTGCAGGGGGTTACCTCAGGCTCTCGCCTTCTTTAGGAACTATCTTTCTCTTTCCATTATAGCAGAATTTGTAGGTGGCCTTCACCAATGGAGTGCGGAGCTGTATTAAACTGTCCAAGATAACTACTTAACATAACAAAATATCACTGAACTGTTCTGAACTTTTAAACAGATGGCTAAATAGGCTCAAGAAGTTAGGTATCTGGTTGGGAGTTCGGTTCCCCACTGTGCAACCCGGAAGAGCCAGCCTGTGTGCCCTTGGGCAAGCTGCACAGTCCCAGGGCACCCACAGAAGAAGGAAATGGTAAACCACTTCTGAGCACTCTTTATCTAGAAAACCCTGGAAAGGGTTGCCATAAGTCAGAATTGACTTGATGATAGATAATTGTTGTTGTTGTTGTTTAGTTAAGTCATGTCCAACTCTTCATGACCCCATGGATCAGAGCACACCAAGCCCTCCTGTCTTCCCCTGCCTCCTGGAGTTGGGTCAAATTCATGTTGGTAGCTTCGATGACACTGTCCAACCATCTCATCCTCTGTCATCCCCTTCTCTTGCCTTCACACTTTCCCAACATCAGGGTCTTTTCCAGGGAGTCTTCTCTTCTCATGAGATGGCCAAAGTATTGGAGCCTCAGCTTCAGGATCTCTCTTTCCAGTGAGCACTCTGGTTTGATTTCTTTCAAAACAGATAGGTTTGTTCTCCATGCAGTCCAGGGGACTTTCAAGGTTCTCCTCTGGCACCACAATTCAAAAGCATCAGTTCTTCGGCGGTCAGCCTTCTTCATGGTCCAGCTCTCACTTCCATACATCCCTGCTAGAAAAACCATAGCTTTGACTATGTGAACCTTTGTCAGCAAGGTGATCTCTCTGCTTTTTAAGATGCTGCTGAGGTTTGTCATCGCTTTCCTCCCAAGAAGCAAGCGTCTTTTAATTTTGTGACTGCTGTCACCATCTGCATATAAGAAGATGATTATCAGAGCCACAATCAGCTCCAGGTCTTGTTTTTGCTGACTGTATAGAGCTTCTCCATCTTTGGCTGCGGAGAATATAATCAATCTGATTTTTGTATTGCCCATCTGGTGATGTCCATGTATAGAGTCACCTCTTGTGTTGTTGGAAAAAAGTGTGTGTGATGACCAGCTTGTTCTCTTAACAAAACTCTATTTGCCTTTGCCCTGGTTTGTTTTGAACTCCAAGGCCATACTTTCCTGTTGTTCCTTTTAACTCTTGACTCTCTACTTTAGCATTCCAATCCCCTATAATGAGAAGAACATCTTTCTTTGGTGTCAGTTCTAGGTGTTGTTATAAATCTTCATAGAATTGGTCAGTTTCAGCCTCTTCAGCATTGATGGTTGGTGCATCAACTTGGATTACTGTGATGTTGAATTTGCCTTGGATTTGTATTGAAATCATTATCATTTTTGAGATTGGATCCCAGTACAGCTTTTCCCACTCTTTTGTTTATGAGGGCTTCTCCATTTCTTCTACAGGATTGTTGCCCACAATAGTAGATATGGTAATCGTCTGAATTGAATTTGCCCATTCCTGTCCATTTTAGTTCACTGACGCCAAGATGTCAATGTTTATTCTTGCCATCTCCTGTTTGACCACATCCAGGTTACCAAGGTTCATAGATCTTACATTCCAGGTTCCTATGCAGTATTTTTCTTGGCAGCATCGGATTTTCCTTTCACTTCCAGGCGCGTCCGCAGCGGATCATCCTTTCGGCTCTGGCCCAACCACTTCATTAGCTCTGGAGCTACTTGTACTTGTCCTCTGCTCTTCCTCAGTAGCATGTTGGACGCCTTCTGACTTGAGGGGCTCTTCTTTCAGTGTCATGCCTTTTTGCCTTTTGTTTCTGTCCATGGAGTTTTCTTGGAAAAGATACTGGAGTGGCTTGCCAGTTCCTGCTCCAGGTGGATCACATTTAGTCAGAATTCTCCACTATGACTTGTCCGTCTTGGGTGTCCCTGCACGGTATAGCCCATAGCTTCTTTGAATTACTCAAGCCCCTTCACCCTAACAAGGCAGCAATCCATGAAGGTGAAATTATTGTTAGGTCTTAACAAAGAAATTCAACAGACTAAGCCATTCTCTTCTGAAGCAGCCTTACAGGAATATGAAAAACAATGTGTCATATGTGTGATGAATTAGTTAGCCTTTTAAGGTGGCACATTACTCTTTGCTTACGTAGAAAGTGGTTGTTGTCAATGCCCTTTTGCTATGTAAGAGCTTCTACCAATCACACAGGCCATCTGTAACCGTTTCAGAAAAAAACAACGAAGCACAACTGTTAATAGGTTCTTCCTTGTTTGACTTAGTGCCAGGTCAGTGCATTTGAGCTGATGGAATAGATGATACATGGCTCTGACTTTCTCCTATCCACCCAAAATGTATGCATAAGAGATGGATTTTTCACTGTTCAATTCTTGAATGTTTGTATTCATGCCTGCCTATGTGTGTGGAGCATGTGTGAGTGTGTGTGTGTGTTGTAACTTATACAAATGAATAAGATACTAGTTAAACACTATCTTTGACATAGGTGTGCACTATGAGGAAAATCTTTGTTGTGCACAATGAGTTGCAAATTGTTTGTTTTTGTCATGTGCCACCAAGTCACTTCAAGAGTGGATGACCATTGCCAACACCTTGTGGGTTTCCTTGGCTGAACCTAGAATTCCCGAGTGCTGCTCCAACACTATCCACTAAAGACTGTCTAAAGCAGCGGCCCCCAACCTTAGGGCCTCCAGATGTTCTTGGACTTCAGCTCCCAGAAATCCTGGCCAGCAGAGGTGATGGTGAAGGTTTCTGGGAGTTGGAGTCCAAGAACATCTGGAGGCCCAAGGTTGGAGACCACTGCTCTAAAGGCAAGGCAAGACATCTTGAAGAAAGGCTGTCTCAAGACTGCTAGTGTCTCTTATAAAAATTAGACTTGATTTCTGATTGCATTGACCTTGATGGGAGTCACACAAGGGTGGACTGTAGGTTTAACTGAGTTTCAAATTATGTTGGCAATCAATCCGCAATGAAAACAAAACCACTTTGTTTTACATGAGTTGCTAAGCACTTCCCAGAAGAGGTGGCAGATGCTGATCCAACCATTCTGGCTACTGCAGTGGATGTCCCTTTTTAAGACTCCTCCTTCCCTTGCCTTGTGTTACCATAGGAGCTGAAACTGCCTGTGTATAAAGCCTGTTCACCACAGATTGAAACGCGGCGCTATTTTGCTGATCTCTTGACTAAGCTCAGCAACCGCTGCCATCTCTGTCCCACTGCCCGGCACCTTGCTGTCTACTTGCTGGACCTCTTTATGGACCACTTTGAAGTGGAGTTTAAAGAGCTATATGTCGCCTCCATCACCTGCCTCCTCCTTGCCAGTAAGTGAGCTTAATGTGTTTACAGTATATTCCTGCTGCTGTAAAAGAGAATCTGATGTTCACAAATGACAAATAACATTGCACCAACTTAAGATAAGCATCAGATGCGTAAATGAACTCTACTCAAACATAGTGGCTGAAATTCTGTTGGAACTAGAGTAAGCCCATTTGAATCCAGGGAACTTATGGAGGAATTCTTACCAAATCCTCATGAATTCAATGAGCCTACTCTAGGGCAACTTGCTACATCTGGGGACTCGAAGTGAGAAACCACTAATCTAGAGGAATGCTTTCGGTATAAAATAATCTCAGCTAGAGTTTCTCAGAGTGATGTGTGTATCTTCTGCTTGTACAGGGATTTTCTGATGAAAGAGGATGTCCAGGGGCTATTTTCAAAGAGTGCTGCAGGTTCCGTATGGTGCTCTTATAATGTTACACTAATGCCGCTGAGGGTGCTTTTCTCTCAGTCCCTTACATTTTTGTAAAATGCCTGGAATAATGTGGACTGGGCCAGTGCTATCGGTCTTGAAACTCTGCACTTGAACTGTAGAGTGAATTAACGGTGAAGTGCCTCAAATGGAAATCCTGCAACATTTTAAAGATCAGTAAATATCATTTGTGTTGTCCCACATCCCTCTTCCAAAGGCATCAGGGTAATGTACCTAATAACACAAACACACACACACACCAAAGGTGCATCTCGTTCTCAAAGAGAATGATAGGAGGCCTTGTGTTGGCTGTCTGTCGCAAGTCCTGTTGTCCCCTGGTTGCACAATTAGTAGCATGGCCAAAGGGCAAAAGGGTTTCCATGAAAAAACAGCTTCCAGGATTACTTTTGCTTGCATGGTATTTTGCAGTGGGGTTTGGCCATCATGTGTGAAAGGTCCTTTGAAGATGGTATTCCCAGTAAATCTTAAAACACAGTTAGGCTGGTATAGGGAGGGGCACTGGAGATCCAGCTTTTGGTTATTTCTCTGAGAGCTTTAACAGCATCTTGAATTGGGTCTGGAAGCAAATAAACAACCAGCCTGCTGTAATGTGGTGCCATTTGGGTCTCACCTGCTAACAATCTGGGAGCTGAATGCTGCAGCAATTGGAGTTCCTGGGTCCTCTTCCCAGGTAGCCCCATGTTCCGTGTTTTGCAGCAGGCGGTTGCCTGACTCTGCATTACAGTAACTTATGCCAGAAGGTGTCAGATTGTGGACTTGTTCTGGCCAGGCTAGCCTTATCTAGGAATGGTGGTGGATGACAAAAGCACATAAAGCTAGGTTTTACAACGGTACTCATTCAGTGAGCCAACTCGATGATCCATCCTAGCTTTTTTGATGGGAAGCCATCCCTGCTATAGCACCATGGGGCTTCCTACCTCAAGTGGTAGAAGAGCTTGGGGTGGCTTTGGAGGTTTGGGGAATGATGTTTTGTTTTTTCCTGACCCTCTGAGGAAAAACTTGCAGTACAATGCAATTCTCTCTCAACAGGCAAATTTGAAGAGAAGGAGGGCAGAGTGCCCAAGCGGGAACCGCTGAACAACTTCATTGACATGTGTCACATTAACCTGGAGCTGACTAAAAAAGACCTGCTGAAGATGGAGCTCTTGCTGCTGAAACATTTCAACTGGAATCTGTGCCTGCCAACTCCGGCTCACTACATTGATTACTACCTCTTTGCCTCCGTTACTGAGAACGATCTGCACTGTGGCTGGCCTGTCACATTTGTGGCCACCGCAAGGGCTTTCATGGAGAAATACGCTCACTATTTCCTGGAAATCTCTCTGCAAGGTAAGTCCTTGACCCAGGATGCCAGTGGGCAACACACACTGTGTGGACTCACGGCACCTCTGCTTTGACCCTCTTTCATCAGGATCCTTGAGGGCGTTAGAAACAGTGTGGGGATGGGGATGTCATGCCTAACAGAAGTGCCCATAAGAGATTTGCTCTGCTTCAGAAATGGCATTAGGGACTCCAGACTGCAGGCTGAGGTGTTCAATAGGAGAAACAGAAATCTCTGCTTTTTTAGGCTTTTAACTTAAAGCTAGATTGATGAACTCTCAAATTGATTAGACTTTTGTACCGCCCATCTGGCTGCCAGGGCCACTCCGGGCAGTTTACAACTAGACAGACTAGCTGATCCATATCCTTGGCCACGTTTTAGATTTAAAGTAGACAATACAGTACTTAGAGACGGCCTGCTGAACTCGCTGGAGATGCAGTAGTCGTGTCTAGCTGAAGTCTTGCAGTTAGCAACAGGTCTGCTTTAAGCCTGACAGCCTTTGGGTCCAACCCTGTGCCTGCTTCCACTGAGGAGAAATGCCAGCTAGATAAATATCGGAGGAAGCATGTTGAGATAATGCTAAGAGGCACATGCTTTCCTTTCTGCCTAAAGGAAATTTTGTGGTACTGTGTTCTTAAAAGAGAAGCAATATTTGTATCGTGTGTGTGTGTGAGAGAGAGAAAGAGAGCATCTTATTGAGTTTGGTGGGATTTATCTTTCTAGTAAAAGTATAGATAAAATGTACTCTCCTCCCTCCACATACCCCCCAAAATAGAAAAAGTATTTTTAGAAAAAATTGTCAAAAATCCCCCTTATCCCTCCAAGAATTGTGAGCTGTTTTGCAACCTTTTGCTACTTCGCTGTTATTTAATTTTTTAAAGAATAATAATATTCTTTGAGTTTGGTGGTATTTATCTTTCTAGTAAAAGTATAGACAAAATGTACTCTCCTCCCTCCACATACCCCCCAAAATAGAAAAAGTATTTTTAGAAAAAATTGTCAAAAATCCCCCTTATCCCTCCAAGAATTGTGAGCTGTTTTGCAACCTTTTGCTACTTCGCTGTTATTTAATTTTTTAAAGAATAATAATATTCTTGCCCATTTAAAGATTCCTCTCCTCACCCCCAGCTTTTGTGGGAAACAGAGCACACTTCCAAATCTACCTTAGTTCCTTAATAGGTTGCATTTGATTCCCAAAGGCTACAAGCATTTTAGCAGCATTGCTTGCAAGAAAAGAGTAAATTTGGTCTCTATTAGGGGCCCAAAGCTGTCATGCTGACATCTTTGTTTTCAGTTACAAAGTTGACCAGTAGCCAAGCCTGGAGGAAAATGTTGGTTAAAATTGCCTGTTTGTGGAGTGTAGGTCTTTGGTGAGAATTTTGTTATTTTGTAATATATATTTTTAATTTTTTACTTCCAGATCATGTTTTTCACTCCTTTCGGCCTTCTTTGGTTGCGGCTGCTTGTGTGGCTGCCTCGCGTATCTGTCTTGACATCTCTCCCTCTTGGACCACTGAGCTCCAGCTGCTGACAGATTATTCCTGGGAGTCTCTTGCTCCATGCATTGACCTCATGCTGATGTAAGTTTTGTGAATTAAAAACTGGCTATCCAATACGCTGTTAATGCAAAGTAGGGTAATACCTAAACCCCTGAGCTATCCAGCAGTACTGTACTGATGTAAATGGGCCTGCCTGCTAGCCTGGCATTATGACCTGGTTATTCTTATTCCTCCCCACAAGAACTGGAACAGAAGTTCAAACACAGTTTCCCAAGTGTGTTTGTTTGGATAAGTTATAGGCACAGTTATATTACCTTTACTGCACACATGAGTTTTATCTAATCTACCTCAATCAACCCTTGCTTGAGGCAAGGACAGGGAACATTTTTGCCCTCCAGACACTGGGTTGCCACTTCTATGATCCTTCACTGTTGGTCATGCTGTCTAAAGCTGATTGGATGGCACTGCACTTCCTGAGGTCCCTCAATATATATTTTTTCTCCAAAGGGCCATTTAACTCTGTTCTGCACCACTACCTCTTTTAGGCATGAGGTTCAAAACAGAAAGTGACCCTTTGGAACGGAGGTCGTCAATGACCGGTCCGCGGCCCATTGCCGGTCCCTGGCTTGAGCCCAACCGGGCCGCCAAGACAGACCTCCCCCCGCCCCCCCCGCATGGACTCCCCTTCCCACAGCTCCTTTGTGCACGCGTGCTGGCGCTGGTGTGAGTCCTCCCTCACCCCTTCCCGCAAGCCCCTGCGGGCACAAAGCAGCTGTGGGAAGGGGAGTGCGTGCGGGGGGAGATCTGTCTTGGCGGCCCAGCCCGGCGGCAGTGACCGGGGTTGGCAAGAGCCGGGAGGGAGCGGACAGCCCAGGTGCTCCGGGTGCTCTCCTCCCGGCAGCAGCGGCAGCGACGGGAGTGGGGGGTTGTCAAAAGTCAGGTAAAATAAAATAAAAATAAAAAAAGACTCGTAGGGTTCCGCCATCGCCGGCGGCACACACTCCCTCACCCCTTCAAGCATGCGCCCACGCACAGGAGTGGGGTGGGCGTGCGGGTGTGCAGGCACTCCTGTGCATGCGTGAAGCAGTGAGGGAACCACTGCGCACGTGCATCGACGAGGGCAAGCGCGAAGGGCCGCCCCACCTCCCTCAGAGACTCCCCCGGTCCGCACTAGTAAAAACGTTGGGGAACACTGCTCTGGAAGTTCCCCACCCCCTGTTGAGAAAGAAGACCATATCAACTCTCATCTTGTTGGTGAGCAGGAGTGAGTCTTAAGAGGGCATCTGACTTGCACTAAGAGCTCCTACTGAATCGTGTTAATAATGGCATTTTAACCCAACCTTTGAATACCAAAGCTCCATAAGCTCTGATCCGTAACATGTCCCTTCTCCCTGCTTGTTCCCTTTTGGTGGTCTGTTACTCTGGGTGCCATACAGTATATGAAACAACTCCTATGCTCCATCTTGAATTGGGAGGGAACTAGAACAACCTCAGTAACCCAGAGCTGTGAAACAGAACATTTCAATGGTGCTCCCTAAGTAGTTTTGTCATTTGAGTAGAAGTACTCTTTGTAGAGGTATGTCTTCCTTCTGAAAGAAAATGATTATGGGAGATGGGAGATGCAGAGACACTCTTCTCTAGCAAACAAGTTGGGGGATGCCAGTGTTGCATTGGTTCAGGTTTGCAAAATTTTATATTAATGCCCACCGTGTGCACTGACATCTCTGCCGACCAAATTAGCCCAATAATCACACAATCTGAATTTCTGCAAGGTGTAAAAGAAAGCTGTAGTGTGGGTGAGACCTGTCACAAGTCCAGTTTGCCTTCTTATTCAGATAAATGGCTTGCTGGTATGCTATAACTAAGTTGTCCAATAATATTCATGAAAGATGCAGATCTAGACCCTAATTTCTTGGTGCTGGGCTGGGATGTAAGATTACAAATTTTATTCCATTATAATCAAAGCTACAGGAGCCAAAGAGGATCATTGTAAATTCCATGATGTTTTTTCAGTATTGCTTCCGAAAACACTCTCCTGAAATTTTCCATGCCTGCCAAAAGTCTTGAAGTAATCATAGTCCTCTCTGCTGTCAGAGGCTGTGTTCCCACTGGTTTCGCAAATGTTGCTGGTGTTATTGTGCTGCTTCCCTTTTCTGTGGCTCAACGTTGCTTCCTGGTGTTCTTGACTTATTTTTCTCTTGACAGAGCTCATGATAAGGATGTCAAAGAAGCCCACAAAGGACAAGATCACGTGGTCCTCTTGCAGCTGCCGGAGCAACAACTCATGGAAAGCTTGACCCTTCAGACAACCCCAACCCAAGTTCTTTTCCAGCAGTCGCCATATCATCCCCTGGCAGAGCATTCCTCTGTCTTCTCCCAGTTCTACTCTCCAATACAGGATCTGTGCTCTGCTTACCGGGAGTCTTTACTCGCTCCTCGGCCACCAAGCGGTCTCGACCCAGAGAATAGCAATTCGCTGTCTTCATATTCTACCCTGCAGGCCGACTTCCAGCCTGTTTTGCAAACTGTGTCCATTCAGGGCCCTGTCACTATGCAGGTGGCCCTTTCAACAGAGCCCAGGCACTGCCTCGCTCTGATCCTCGGCAGTAGCTATTTCAGCGGGCATCATTCCTGCACCACTGATTGTTTTGATGCGTGAGCACCTGCAAAGAAGAGGAGCAAGAGAAGGGAGAATGTTAAATGCTGATGGTACATAAACTGAGCTGCACCCTACTGCCCTGAAAAAGGGACTCTGAAGAATGAACTTGGAAGTGTCTTAGACTGGGGTCCCTAACCCCCGGTCCGCGGGCTTCGCAGGACTGGGCCATGGACACAGATCTCTCCCCCGCGCATGCACACATGGTGGGTATGGCATGCTCACCTGCATGCACAGATGAGTGTGGTGTGCAAGCAGCCATGGTGCGCATGCGCATTCACCTACAAGTGCAACACACCCATATGCGCATGCGCTCAAGCGAGCCACACCCATCCACTAGTGCACCACGCTCACCCATGCTTGCGTATGAGCGTGCCATGCCCATCTGCAAATGTGCCACACCCATCCATGAGCGGCGCGGGGGTTCCCCCCCCGCGCACGTACCTCACCAACCCCAACTGGTCTGCGGTTCCAAAAAGGTTGGGGACCACCGTCTTAGACAAAACAAATTCATTGCTGGAACTGCTTTTAATGTAAGGGTGCTCTTTTCTGCAAGAAATATTTGACAAAAGCAAGATTTAAGTAAATGCAATCGTATGCTTCACATTTCAAGATGCTCCTCTTGTAGAAGTGACTGACTGAAATAGGCCTGTTGTTTTCCTCATGTTACTCCATAAAAGAATCCTCAACAAAATGAACGTTACAACATGATTAAAGTATTCCTTTGAAAAGGTAATGTGAAGAAACATCTGCCCTCAGATATTTTTATAAGATGCTTTCTCAGTGAAACATTTTTATATCTGCAGTTCTTAACAGAAACACTTCGTTGATAAAGCTAGTATTTGAGTCTACCTCTCAAACTGTAGAAATTTTAATGAAGAATCATTCTTACCAGATGTTCACTGGAAATTTCACTGAACAAGATAGTATATTTGAATATATGCACAGAAAATCGTCAACCACTTTGGCCTTAAAAATCTTCCATGCAATTTCATGAACCATCAGTAGGGAAAGAAAAAACACCACTTGAATCTCATTTGTAGTATTTTTTGTTGTTGTTGTTAAAATGCAATGTTAAATTACCTCTAAGTGTTGAATATGCTGCTGCCTTAAGTAACTAATTATCATTGTTTGGAAAAGTGGTTTACACATTATATCAGGGATTAATGTTTACTTGAAAACAATTCAAAAAAAGTTTTTAATATTCGTGAGAATCTTTTAGTGTATGTTGAGTTTTGCAGTCTAATTTGGTAAAGCTAAAGGGGAATGAAAAATATGTAGGAACAGGGTTTTTTTAAAAAAAGACAACTTTTAAGCTTTCCGGGGATAAGGGGCTTTAAGATAATACAGGAAACTAGTCAGATGTACTTAGAAGTTACTATTACTGAACCACTAACTGGAGACACATGCATGGCTAGGAGAGATGGCTGTGTATTGCAACATGTCAAGAAAATGGAGTGTAATATTATGCTATAGATGCTAGAATGTAAAGCAGAGACCTTTGGGAGAGAACCTGTTTTGTCACTATGATTCCTGTTCCAAGCACACTTCCTGTTTCCATGTTTGGGAGCAAGCTGCTCATTGTGGGGCAAACAGAGGAAACCAAGACATGGCAAGGCACTTGCAGGGGTTATATGGGCAGCCAGGGCCTACTTAATTCTTCCTTTCTTTCTCAGTGATCACATTCTTTCCTGAAGATGCCTCTCCCTCCCCACCCGGAACATTAGCATTTCTTCCTTCCAAATGAGCCAGGCTGGTGGAAGAATAAAAGGTGTGGGTGGGAAAGGCATTTGCAGGGTATTGATGAAAGGCAAGTATTCCTCCCACCTAGTGATTCTCCAGTGCATACACAGATTTAGGAGCCAAGGTAACCTGCCTTTTTCCCTTGGGTCCCATTTATTCGATGGAGCTTAGTTCCAGCGAAGTGAATTTCAGAATCATGCCCACAGCAATGGCTGAAATTCTGTTGCTTAGCATAATAAGTCACACTGAAGTAGGCCCATAGAATTAGTGGGGATTTTGTGAGTCAGCTCCTTCATAAGTTCCACTGATTCAAAGGGGTGCACTCTGGCTGTGACTTAATTTTTCATAATTAAGGTTCAACTAGAGTAGGCTTGTTTGAATCACTGAAATGTCTGGAGAACTTTACTCACCAAATCTCCACTGATTCAGTTGCCTTCTCCAGTGCAGCTTAGTACACTAACAGGACTTCAGCCGCTTTTGTGCAATTAAGCTTATCACAGGATTCGGGTAAATCCAATTACAAGTTGAAGATTTCTGCTAGAATGTGAAATATTCAGTTGATAAGCAGCTGTTTTTCTGGTGGTGAAAAGGTTTCTCAGGATTACAGTACAGATGGTGTGCAATAACGTTTGTGTGTGAGAGAGAGAGAGAGAGAAAGAGAGAGAGAATGTTAGATTGTTTTAACGGTAAGAGTTTTGAGAGGAAAATGTTGAGTTGATTGTTTTAATGTGAAGGAAAATATTTTTTAGAGAATATCTATTGATGAAATGCTGATGGTGTCCATAAAGCAGATTTCCTCAAACTGGAAGCCTCCAGATAGATTTGACCTACCATAATTTCTCGCCAGCATGCTTATTTTAGTTATGGTGACTGTTGATGATGAGGGTTGTAGTACAAACACATTCTGAGGGTACTAGATATGGAAATGCTGCTCTAAAACGTATTATAGCCTGGGCTTTTCACTGCTGAATGTAACAATGTGTGTAGCAAATGAAGTCTTGGAGATGCTGTCTTTCTTCAGTTTTTATTATAGATTTATTATACATTTTTGTCAAATAAGAAAATTATGTCTGGAGTTTTCACTTACAGTAGTTATTTTAATATTTATATATGACTTGCTTTCTCAGATTTCATGTGTTCTTTAATCACATAATTGTGTAAAATACCACAGGAGAAACTCTGCCTTATAGAATCCATTATGTTTATTTTTTAAAGCCCTGTGCAGAAGCATTTTTATGTTGACATTTTGAAGTCTCATTTCCATCCTAAGGAAGGTTACTCAATAAACATATGAACATATTTTACTACTTTCTGTGTACTCTTGTTTTTTTTTTTAAATGAACTGGAAAAAGTCTACAGCAATCTGTTGACTTGGATTGATGTAGAAGCCACCTTGGGTTCGTTTGCAGCATTTATAGATCTAAAATCTGCCTTCGACTCAATACCCAGAGGAAATTTATGGGAAAAACTCTACTCTTCCTCGATTGATAAGAGGCTACTATACCTTATCAGAAGCCTCTACCAACAGACCACAATTAGGGTAAGATGTGGAGTCGATGGGAATCTATCAAACCCCATTCAGGCAGAGAGAGGGGTTCGCCAAGGTTGTATTCTGGC